GAAGTAGTAGATATGCTGATTTGGTGATCCTGTACCGTCGAAAGGTTGCAGCGCCGGAGCCTTAAACTTTGGTGGGTAGGGAGCCGTATCCCATTCTGCAGGGTAGGGCCGTATTACTCCTTCCTCACGAAGCTCGCTTCTGTTGGCCATTGCGTTAAGGCGGGCTTCTAATTCGTCTACTTTGGTCGACTGAGGATACAGTTCTTTTTCCATCTCCTTCTCATTGTCAGAAGAAGAATCCAAGTTGTGAGTCTCACGATCTGAAAGTTCGTGCGCCTTCTGCTTTCCTTTTGACGTAGTCCTCCGGGAGGACTCGGGTCTTTGGCCTTTTTCAGCTAGAAGTTGGGCCAACATATCCTTCATCTGGAGAAGGGTTTCCTGTTGCGCCTGGAGCATGACGTGATGTTCATCAACTCTTTTGGCTATGTCTTCAGGATTTCCCGTCATGTAAACAGAAACCTTCTGTGCTCCGATAGAGCTTGAAGATATGTCTTCAGGATTTCCCGTCATGTAAACAGAAACCTTCTGTGCTCCGATAGAGCTTGAAGATTGAGATCCAGCTATTGCCGAATGTTCATCACTTGTCGTAATCCCTTGGGCTAACTTTTGGTAATTAATCGGGCGGATAGTTCCAGTCCGTGACCGAGTATGTCGATATACCCCTTCGAATTCATCGCAAATTTCTCGAACGGTCGGGGAATGGCTTCTTTCTGATTCATCAGAACTGGGACACGGGGCTTTTCCTCTGCTGGTCATGTTGATGGTAACCTGAGCGTATTCAGCTTCGGAAACTTTCTTCTTTTGACGTCGTCGTTTGGTAGGTCTTGCGACGTCAGACAGTCTATCGAATACAGACCTGCGAGGCTCAGGCATACAACAATGACATTCAGAGAGGACTGTTGAAATAAGCCGCTCACAATGACATGAATGAGCTGCTCGTTGCATTGGTTTTTCTCTGGAGAGTAACTCTCGCAAATCAGAGACCCGAGGACAATTCTTCATCGGGGATGAAACCCCCTGTCCTTGGATGGGCGAAATTGGTTCTTGTTGAACTTGACGGACCCTATCGCATTCGGGAATCGAGGTGCGAGGGTCGTGTTTTGATTTATAAACACTAGGCCTTGGCCTGCGTTTAGTTGACGGAACAGACCCCTGAGGGTCTTGTTTTGTTTGGACGCACTCGTGAGGTGCTTGTTTTCCCTTAACAGGGCTGTGCTTTGATTGGACAACGCACCACTGAGGATCGCGTTTAAGTTGAATCACCCGAGGTTTGTAATTGGATTCATTACCTCGAAGTGTGCGTTCTGGAGTATGAACGCAATGCTTGTGCAGATCTTCACGCAATCCTTGCGTTGGTCTTGGGATTGATTTTCTCGGAGGTGTGCTCGTCGGATGGACCTTCTTCGTCGTCGAGCGGTGTTTTTCTTGGCTTGTTTCAAAGCCTTAACAGCAGCGTCATCGGCGTTGATTGTGCTTTCCTCTGTCATAGGCCTTTTACAACCAAGTACACGCTGTGTCGACATAGGCGTGGGATCTTCGGCTTGCAGAGCAAGCTTGAGGCTTTGGCCAAAGGAGAGGGCTTTCTTTGGCGTCTCAACAGCAGTTAAGACCTCTTTAGAGCTCTTGCAAGCATCTCGCCTAGCTTTAGGGCTAAGCGATCCGGAAGAGAGGGCTTCCTCGTATTTGGCTTGGTCAAACTCCACAACCAAGGTTTCTACGGTTGTTCCAGTGAGGTGAACGTCGGATTGCGCCACCACCTCTTCATCAGAGAAGCTCTTCCCCAGCGGAGTCGCCATCTTTTGTTTAGTGAAAAATTTTGTAACAAGAAAATAAGAAAAGAACTGTACTTGATTTTATTCTCTCTAATTGTTTAGAAAAAGAATGATTACAATTCTCTCAACTCTCAATTACAATTGGATTTCCGATTACAAAAGAGAAGAGAATGATTGGGATTCTCTCCTTTGTTTAATTCTGGGTTCTTCTTGGTAGCGATGAGATGCCTCCCTCGATTGTTCGCGTCGAGTTTGCTTCTCGTTGACGATCCGACGTCTTGTTTCACTGGAACAACTGTCTTGTCTGGTTGATAACTCTTGACGAGTTTCGTGATTCAGAACAAGTAACAAACTCTAATGATAGAGTTGTTTGAACCGAAAATAATTCGGTTAATAAGCCAAATATCGACGGTTTAGAGTTCCTTCGTCTGTTGATTTCCCAGACTGTGTAAAGAGTCAATCCTCCTTTTTTATGATTCTGGAAGATATGATCGAAAGATCTTCTCCAAAATCCAACCTCGCCTGAAAGATCCCCTCAACAACAATCCGCCCTTGATCTGATTATCAAAAATCCGATCCCTTAACTCTGTTGAGTTTGTTGCTATTTATAGTGGGATTAGGGGTGTAACTGACCCCTTAATCCGCTCCTACATGGGGGTTTTGTTACCCCATTAGTCGGGTGTAACAACCCACTAAAGCCACTCCTCAAATCGTGGGTGAAGAACAGCTTTGAAGTTGTTACGATCACGTTTGAATGAGTCAGAACCTTGACCCGCGTTCTGGCGTAGATTCTGGGTTTGAATGCAGCTTCTGGAGGTGCGTTCTGCAGCGACATTGAGCTGTGTTCCTCGATGTTTGAAGATGCGTTTGGCAGCGATATAGAGCTGCGTTCGAGCTATGCTTGGCAGCGATATAGAGCTGCGTTCGAGCTGGGCTTGGCAGCGATATAGAGCTACGTTCGAGCTGTGCTTGGCAGCGATATAGAGCTGCGTTCGACGGCACTGATGAGCTGCGTTCGAGCAGCGGTTGATGAGTTGCGTTCAAGCTGTGCTTGGCGGCGATTGGTGCTGCGTTCGACGGCGCTGATGAGCTGCGTTCGAGCAGCGGTTGATGAGTTGTGTTCAAGCTGTGCTTGGCGGCGATTGGAGCTGCGTTCGAGTTTCTCTGTCTTTATATATGGATGACACCAATGACCAGTAGAGAAGGTTCTATTCAGGCTAGTTGTAACAATTGAGGCATCTCAATAACGCTCTATCAACTGCAGGTCATGATCTCCACTGAGTGTGTCGAATATCATTACACTGCTCATCAGCATCTCTAATGGTTACTCAATCATCTCACATAAGAAGCTGCGTAAGTGATTGAATCAGTGTAGTGTCTTGACGGTGGTATGCGGGGAGGACTTTCATGTCTTGGTTTGAAGAGATCGTTGATTTGTAATCCCTTTCTGTCAGAGCTTTGCTTTGCTTTAACTCTTTGACATGTGAAAGTCTTCGAATTGTAGCCTTCTGGAAGTTGTCAGATTGTAACTTCTATCCTCGGTGTTTGATGGGGACTCAGCTATCTATTGTAATTTTTAGACAGCCTACACTCGCCGTGTACAGCATCATCTAATCAATCAATAACAATGAGACATGCCTTTCAATCTCAGAGTCGGCATCAAGCTTCCAGATCCGCACTTAAATCATCTTGAAGTTTAATCTATTGATCAAAATGAACTGTAAACTTTTCTGTTTGCTAGTAAAAGTTCGTTATTTATTCAAAATTATATTTTCTTACAGTGTACTCGAGCCGGATTAATTGAGGGTTGGGAACTAGCTAGGGGTACTCATCATGAGGAGTTAGGTTAGATGACTAGTTTTTGGGATAAATTAGGGTGCAATCTTGTATGCATACTGAATCAGATTTGTGGCTTAGGAGAACTCTTTCAAAGTGAGAAAACCCTTTCCCCCTTCATGAGAAGACAGAGTGAATGTAGGTTTGTTTATTGAAACTACTATAAAAATGTCATGTATTCTAGTTGTTTCTTTGTGACTTATTTATTGCATCCCGTGTTTAGCAATATCGTTTGATTTGTGTTACATATTCTGTGATAATTTGCAAAACAACAAGCAATCCCATTAGCCCCCGGGCTTGCATCTCAGATCCAACATAATTCTTATAATCTATCCTTATAAAACTTAATTAGATTATTAATGTAAGTTTGTTCGATTATAAGTAGCCACACAATTGAGAAAAAATGATTAATAAAGTGCCTAAATAGCACTTAGATACCTTATTATTTCATCACATTAATATCGTAAGTTGTGAAAATTAGCAATTTGATATCCTAATTTGAACTGACAGTTAAATATCCTATTGTTTCACCATCATCACACATAAATATTCTAAGTTGTAAAAAGTAGCACTTTAATGCCCTAAATTGTAAGAAATTAGCATTTTAATACCCTAAGTTGTAAGAAAGTAACACTTTAATACGTTCTCTTAGTTTTCAAGATAATTTCCTAAGAATATTCCCATCACAACTAACAAAAGGTACTGGTGTGCTGGTTTTTTACCACTTAGAATACTAAAGTACTACTTTTTATAATTTAAGATATTTAACTATAAAAGTGGTGAAACAATAGCGAATTTATGTGTCATTTAGCCTAATAAAATAGAAAAGATATATTTATCTGTCCTAGTGAGGCTGTCATTTAGCCTAATAAAATAGAAAAGATATATTTATCTGTTCTAGTGAGCCTGTTGTTTTGAACTCACTACCACTCTAGTTTTAATTTTGGAAATTGACCACCTGAATGAAACTTTTCAACTATTTTTCTCTCATGAAGTAGAAAACTGTTTTTTTACGAAATAGAGTAAAAAATTGTCACGCAAAGATTATATCTGCAAAAATAGAACTATTGTCACGCAAAGATTATATCTGCAAAAATAGAACTAGGCGGGCTGAAAGTCCATGATCTAACGGTTCAGATTAACAACAATAAAGGGGCAGAGAGCGAGATGTTATACATCCTTAGTTATAGAGAAACTAACTACTCACCAATCAAATCACTCACTCAACGAACCCCATGAATGATATTAATTATTCAAACTATTTAAAAGATATATAATTGTGAGGTCCACTTAGATAAATCAATAGTATTAGTCAACTTAATAATCATAGGTTTTCTCTGCAATCAACATTGAAGAGAAGCTAGACCCACACTAGAGGGAGTCTATCCGGAATTAATTCTTTTTAAAATTACTTTCTTTCTCTCATAATTTCCTTTATTATTTCTGGTTTCTCATATATATATAAAGACGCTCAAAACACAGTTCTCATCAGCCTCACTCATTCCCACTCTCCTTCTCCTTCTTCTTCTTAAGCCATTCAACAAACGCAGTTAGCGTCTGAGTATCAGGCGTATGATGCTTCCGAGTGAACTCCTTCAGCATTCCCCATGTGAAGTCCGGATAAGCCCTTGGATGCTCGGCATCCACGAGCTCTTCCGGCGGTCGGACGGTCTTGTCCATCTCCGGCGACACAAAGTACACCATCGTCTTTCTCGTCGTCGTGCTGCTGACTACGGCTCTGTGCATGCAGCTCTTGTACCTTTTGTTCGTCTGCGCCTTCATGTTTTTACAACAAAAAATGCATATATACACACACAACACACATTATTAGTTGTTTTCAACTTAATTAATTCATTCATAATAATAAAGGTAACTGAAATTACTGAAATCTCACTACATTGCTAGACAAGTCCCTGCTCTTGAATCAATACGCTATAAAAGTTTATCAATGTTAATCATGGGCAAAAAAAAAAATGTGAATCATATGGGCCACTTGAAGCCACCCTCTAGCAAAGAAGGTAAGTACTATTTATAATTTTTTGATCCCTTAGTCACACGACTCACACCACTGTCTAGTGTTGGGCCAAAGTCTTAGCTGGCTCAATCCGTAAATCTTATATGCTAAATAGTTAGTAGAAAAATGCCTTAAGAACCCAAAATATGGGATCAAAGGAGGGGACAATTTATTATGCAATAGGAGTGGGACATCTCACATGTCCCCTTCAATGGTCTCATATTTTGGGTATCTGTAGCGGAGCTCATAGTTAGCATCGTCTTTGTGGGGGAAAAGTGGGTGTGGGTCCTACTGTTGGCCGGCAATAACCTGAAGCAGTGGACTCCCCCATCCTCTCTGAAATTCAAAAGGCTTTCTACTTTATAGTTTTTTGTTAGATAAGTATATATCCAATTTTCATTATAAAGATGGGATAAGTCATTGTTTTTACCTTTGCTCCATTAAACACTTGAATTCAATGATGGTTTTATTATATAGACTAATGATTGATTGTTCATTTTTTATTTGAAATTGACGATTTAACTCATGACCTACTCTTGAGGTTTTTTATTATATGATGTCAATTTGTGACAATTTGTAATTCAGAGTAAACTTTATATGTTCGATATGAACTTATATTAACAGCATCAATCAAATGAGGCTATAATGCACCAATTTAAAAGATGAAGACATGTAGAGGTCTATCGTAAGTATTTAGTTAAATATATATTCCAAAATTATGAATATGAGAGAAAATTTTGTTTTTTAATCGGAAAATTTGTATTATTGTTTTCATATATATTATGACAACACTTTTATGAATTCATGGATCCACCCTTGCATGCACGCACGCACTATATATGTTATCAAATTATTTTAAAATAATTGAAACTTTGTTTTTTATTAATTTATTGGCTAGCTACTATTGATATTAGCCTATTTCAACTCTCGAATTTAGGGGGGGAAAAAGAGAGAGAACCCTTATACTCAGGTTACTCTGTTAAATCTAAACAAGAAAATTTTGAGCAGTTATAATTAAGTGTCCTATCGTACATCGATTTATACCTTCAGTTAATATTTGGGTTTTCATATCATCAAGGTTTGGATAATTTTAACGTGTTACATCAGCGACTCACCAAACAAAAGCATTGATCGGTAGCACGCGTAAACGTTGACGTTATAATCTAATAATGTGGACAATGTTTGCAGTTTGTAACCATATATATATATATATAGATAAGAAGCTAAAACTTTTACCATGAACGTATCTCCAATGTTGATGACAAAGGTGTTAGGCCTAGGGCTAACATGCAGTAAACCACTTCCCATCCACACAAACCTGAAGGCCGTCGACATTATCATCTTGGCGCAGAATGGTGATGGAGTTTGGATCATAATGCGGACCGGTTCCTAAGGTTCGGTCCGGTTTCGGACTACGAGGGTAGTAATTGGCCATAAAGAAGGACTCGTTGTTTGCATACAAGTCCGTAAAGGTTGAGCTACGAACTCCCAAGGCTCAGCCATTGCAATGAAATAATTTCGTAACACCATCCTGCGGTCAAAACCGTTTATTCTGAATAAAAATGTGAATATCGGTAGTATATATATTTGAATTAATTGAAGTATATATAATTGTTTAGATTTGAATATATTGGACTACGGTTAGTTATGGGACGCTAATTTGAGATAACTTATAAGAATTTGGGGGCTAAACCAAACGCCAATTTCAGTGATTTGAGAGACTGACACTGACTATAATATAGCAAGTTCAAATTATCTGAGGGGACTAATTTGAACAAGCTTATAATTAATAACATGGGGGCGTGTTGACAATTTCAATGACTTGGAGTGACTAATCCAAACTATTAAAGATTTAAGGAACCAGTATATATCAACCTAGCAAAAACTAAAATAAATAAAATTAATAAAATGATCGCGTTCAAGCCTTAATTACCCATATTGCCTGAACTCCTCGCCCAACACCTTCACAAAATACTCACCCACGCCCTCCCTCTCGACCCTCAACAGCTCCTTCCACGGCATATTGCATCTAAACCCAAAACTATTGGAATAACCAAAAAACTCCCCGTCTCTCCTCTTAACCCTCTCCTTCTCCTCCAAACCCATCGAGAAGAACTCCTCCGTCCCCCTCTCGGCCGCCCGTATCAAGCCCTTGTCGACACCGTGATCCTCGACCTGGAAGAACCCGTACGTACTCCTCGCAGGCGCTGCGGACTTGGTTGGCGATTTCGGTGGTGGTTTCGGGGCTGCTGCCGGAGGAGAAG